AATTTAAAAAATAAAAAGCCTTGTTATATTCAGATAATTTCTATCAAGAACCTCTCGAAAGTTCTAGAGCAATAATGGACTAAAGGAATAAATGGAATAAAGGACTAAAATGCACTTGATTCAAACTTTTCAATTTCTTTCTATGTATCTGAACGTTAGACACTGAATAAGGATGACAAAAGAAAGACTTTGTGGTATAGGAGAAGAGTTCTGAATATCTCATGAACTGCCAAAAGAACAAACAGATCAGTCTTTCAGGAAGTGCAAGGCAAGGATAGTGAAACTTCATCTCACACATTTGGGCACGGTCTTCAGAGGCGCCAGTCCTTGGAAAAGATATCTATCATGTTATGAAACATGGAAGGTCAGAGCAAAAGAAGAATACCCTTAACAAGATTAATTGACACAGTGGCTGTAATAATGGATTTGAACATATCACAGACTGCAAGGATGGTGCAAGACAGGGCAAAGTTCAGATCTGTTGATCATGGGTTGCTATGAGTTGTAGTTGACTCAATGGCATGTAACAAGAAAACAAAAATTTATTGTTCATCTAAAGTATGTATTTTAACTTTCTAAGTAAACCAAGATAAAAATTTTAAAAAGTATTAATGTGGTTTAATTTCTCCAAAGATTAATCTTTATTATAGGAACTCGGATTTTTTAAAGGGTTTTAATCTAATAATTCCTAAAGTTTGTCTTCTTTATTTTCTGTACATTATGAAACTATTCTGTTTATAAAAGCACTTACATATCACTAGAAACTAATCAGAACAGAAAATCTTAGAAAGATAAAATAATTAAATTTTTTAATATCCTTCAGTGGTAGAAGCATTTCAGACTTACACATGAAAGATACAGGCCTCTTTCAAAAGCATACATAACTATGAACCAACAAATAACGTGCTTATAACTTTGTATTTCTACAACCCAGTGAGGTACCATCTCACTCCAGTAACAGTGGCAAAGTTTAACAAGGCAGCAAGTAATAAATATTGGAGAGGATGTGGCAAGAAAGGAACTCCTATACATAGTTGGTGGGAGTATTAATAAGTACAACCACTCTGGAAGGCAGTTTGGTGCTGTCTCAAAAAGCTGAACATGGAAATTTCATATGACCCAGCTATTCTATACTTGCAATATACCCTGAGAAAATGAGAACTGAGGCACAAATGGAGATTTGTACACCAATGTTCATAGCAGCATTATTCGCCATTCCAAGAACATGGAAACAGCCAAAATTTCCAACCACAAATAGATTGAGACACTATGGTACATTCACACAATGGAATACTATGGAGCACACATACCTAACTTGGGAGGGACTGGAGAACACTATGCTGAGTGAACTAACAGTCCCACAAGGATAAATATTGTACAAAACCATTATTGTAGAATGAGTATAAGGATCCAAGAGAGGTGGGAGAGGGTGGAAGTAGAGGGATGAGGATGTACAGGGGGAGGAGAAATTGATAATGGGGTTGTACCATTTGTTGGGGGGGAATGAGGGAAATGGAAAGAATTTTGTTCTTGAAAACAAAATATTCATATTTTGTAAATAAACTAGTAGGGGGGAAAAGAACACTGTAAGTACAAAAAACAAAGTAAGTATATAAACACAAAACCTCACTGACAAAAATACCTGTTCTTACAGGATTGAACAAAATTCTTAACAAATTTCAGTTTACAAGTATATAAACAAACAATAAAATGGTATTTATTGTATGTTCAACAGAAAGTATCTGTCTTTTATTCATCCCACAGAGATCACCTAATGATCACATAACGAAACCAAATTTCCAGTCACAGTTGCCACCAATGGTCAATACCTTGCTGGCCAAGTATGAATCAGAAACAAAAATTCAAAATCAGTAGAAAAAGCAGTAACAAATAAACAGAAAAAGAGAGTCAACCAAGGTAGTTTTAACACTGCTTATGATTCATTCCAAAATTCAAGAAAGATATAAGGGGATCACAACTACCCCAGAGGCACACTTTTTTCAGACATTGAAAAAATAAATTTA